AGTCGTGAAACTCCATTGTAATCACCTGGCCTCGCCGCTCTGTAGTCTTCGTATTTTGCGTGCTTCTCCACGACACTGATATGCTAAGCAACCTGCACTAGTCGCACAGCAACACGCACAGCAAGCATATAAACACATTCGGGAATATCAAACTATATGGGAGATTTATTGATATCTTTTTATGTGGGGAACGGAGTTCACATATGTAGATGATGTTATTGATAATTGATAATAAATATAATATATTAATTCCCTATTAAAGTTGGATCTGCGCAAGCAGTACTACTACACTAGCTGATGATATCTTTGAGGTGAGCGTTGAGGAAATGTAAGATTTCAAGTTATCATAAAATCTTGATGAACGCAAGTATCACTTTCTTGAGAATTATACACGTTTGACATTACATAGGTGAAACGGTTAGCAACTCTATCCAGCGAACATAAAAAGGGGGAGGGAGAGCGCCAGTCTACTGACGTAGACTGTTGCCGTCTAACTCTACCGATCGAGGGGGAGCTCAGTAGCTGTGGAGGAATGAATACAGTATGCCAAGGCTAAATGCAATAGTCTTACTACTATCTACCTCAGTGAGGGGGTGTCTGCTGTGGAAGTAGAGACTGCACATCATCTGTGATAATGATGGTGCATGCTGTTGTAAAAGATCATCTTGTAATTATGAGTTATCACTGCCGACAGCGTGCTAATCAATTTACTCTCAGATTTGTGAGATTCAGTTCACGGCGTGCAGTTGGGTTCATGTGGAGGTATTGAAGAGACGGAGAGTTGTTGATTATGGTTTTGTTGATTTCATAAATAACAGCGTCCACATTAATGAATCGACAGGTCACGAGCAGGTGTATTGGAAGTATGTTATCGCCCGATTAGTTCAGCTGGATAGAATGTCTGCCTACGGAGCAGATGGTCGTAGGCTCGAATCCTGCATCGGGTATTATTTGTCCACGTTATCTGTCATTGATCCCCGTATAGTCATGGCTCGAAGATACAAACTTCTGGTCTGACACTTTTTAAACAGCATTCGCTGTTCACGAACTTGGGCAGGAGCTGCTGCCCTACCAACGTCACTGGGCACTCCGTGTGGGACACATATTCGAGTGATGATATGAAGCTCGACGTGTGATGATCATAATTGTCCTCGCCATTTCTCACTGTAAAGATTTGTATATACAGTGTGTTCGATTTCGATACTCCAAACAGGTAGGTCTATCACTCCGACACCCCCACAAGTGAAACGGTGATCGATATAGAGCTATCGGCTATTTATTTAGTTCTCAAATCTAGTTAATCTTATTATGTGAAAGTTTGTTTGTGAAATTATGCGTATTGGAAATGATATGCACTTTTCCTGTGTGGACTATCAAAATCGAACACAGTTGTATACTCGCTCGCCGAGTAATAGTGAAACCGTTGCATTGTAGTACAACATATAATACTAAATTAAAATCTCACTTTGCATCATCAACACCCTTGTGGATAGGTGTTCTCATCTTTCGTGGCCGATGATCAGCACATATTAGTTCCATATCATTACCGATGGCGTTTTCCCGCTGTGATTGTCTTCGCGTTGTGAAGTGCGGGGAGATTTTCCGAAGGATTCGCCATTAAAATCTCCTCGTTATGTATTCGCTTATCGAACTCGATATGCATCAGCTTGTAACAGTCTACTACTGCGGTTCCGATGGACCGTCATCGCCCTTCGGAAAGATCTAGGCGCCGACGAAGCCACTCAGAACGTCACAGGTGAGGAGTCTGTCTTCGCCCTAATGCGAAGTGATGCCAGGCACTCTCGCGGTAACAAGGAAGGCCGGACCGGGTCCAGGTGAGAAACTAGTGTGAAGGTGATCACTGTTGCCGCAGAGATCGTCGTAGTCGCTCTCGCGAGCATCGTCATAGTCACCGACATTCTGAGCGTGATAGAGACTCTTTTGGGTACGGTTACAGAGAACGAGATGACTCTAGTAGGAGGCAGCGCAGGAAAGAAATGTAGTACGGAATTAAATGGTGAATTCGCACCGTCCTCGCGAGTGTTGGAGTAGGAATATATATGTTTGCTTTCCCCAGCTGAGTTCACGAAGGTAGTCATAGAAGCACATAGGAGTAAACAGAAACTAAGTTGATAATTTCCCAGCATTTTATTACTATCACCAACACATGTAGTTGATCATGTTTTCCGTATTTTCGAAAAACATGGTCAACTACATTTTCTTGATCATTGGAGAGCATAACGCAAAAGATTGATCAAAAGAGTATATATCATCTTGCTTTCGTTCTCCAGTGCTAAGGCCGTTTCATGCTCGGCGTGCGCTACTGAAGATGTTAATTATGCGGAGTGTGAGCACATGTTCTCTGGGAAAATAATTTTCCCACGCACCGATATTCGCAGCGTTTTCATTTCGATGCCTCTAGTAGGAATATCCGAAATCTCCTCAATTTTCACGTAGATTTTATGATGCGCCAAACCATGATAATTTCGCTGTTTATGAAGTGACGATGACGTTCTATGATCAGGGACTGGGCAAAGGACTCGGATGAGAATCGGCATAGAAGGGGTAGGAGGTGGGTTCGATTCCTAGGAGGGGCTTTTTTATAAATCAATTGTGACTTTGTTGGGACTTTCAGGGCCAATCTCAGCGCTGCCGAGAATTGAAGATAAGAATATTGAAGTCGACGAAAAGCAAAGGTAGATTCGAACTTTTTGTGATGTATATGATATCGTGTGAAAGTTCAGAGTAGAAAACGAGGTCAAGAAGAGGTTGGATAATTTCGTGGCGAGTGACGATTTTAAGAAGCGATTGGATGCAGAAAAGCAGAAGGAGAAGGCGAAAGCTCTTGAGAAAGCTGTATGAGGGAATTCGGGGAAATTCCAATGTGAAAGGGAAATTGGTCAACCAAGTTGTAACATTATTTATATTTTGTTCGTGAGTGTTTGACTTTTTTCGACAAATCATCATTTTGTATTAGTGGAGTATTTTCCCCGGTTTGAGAAGGAATGCACATGGTCAACTACATGTGTTGGTGACGATATGAAATTTTTGAGAAATTCTTTAGAAGTGATGAACTCCTGAGCTCAGCTGAGGAAACAAAGCATATATTCTAGAAAAATAATTTTCTAGAGTTTGATATGCGCGACTTCTCGATTTCAGTTTCGGAGGTATATATAAGAATTTTGGGTGTAAAAAAGTAGATTTAAAAATCGATGCAGTTGGGGGAAGAATTAATACTTTCGAGCTAGATGGATATAATCGTGCGCGAAAAAAACACATCTTCAACGAATTCTTCCACAAATTCTTATTACATGCATATTTCAGCACATGTCGCTTCTACGCGTTGCTTCCCACTTATCAATTCTAAACGCCTCTCGTAGATGGTAATATGCAACCTTTACCGTTATATTTTTTCACCGAGGCGACTCTGTTGTATGTCGTCGTCGTCACCACCACTACTACACTATCTAATAGGAATCGAGCGTTTTAGATATCGCGTGTTGTAGGTGCTTGAGATCGCCTCTGAAAAACGACAGTTGATTGCTGAATTTAAATCCAAGCTGGAAGAAAAGCAACGTAGTAGTGATGAGCTCGAGAAAATTATGGAGGACAACGCGTAGGTGCAGTAAGAAGTTTGGGGGGGAGAGGAATGTCATGTTTTGTAGTCGTCGGGCAAAGGAAGAACAACAACGTTTGGCAGCAGAAGCGGCAAGTCGGGTAAAAAAATCCGATAAGTGAATTTTTCACCCAATTATGTTTTTGTTGTTTTAGAGAGAAGAACGAGTCCGTGAGCTGAGGAGGATCGAGATGGAGAGAAACCGGTAAGAATAGCGCGGCCAGTGTTAGAGGAATATATCTTCGCTTTATTCATCTGAGCTTAGCAGTTCTCTCACTAGTTTAGTGAGACAGAGAATTTCTCAGAGTTTTCATATTGTCACCAACGTATGTAGCTGACCATGTGTATATTCCCCCCGAAAGGATGGGGAAAATATGTGTTGGTGACAAGGTGAAAGTTTTGAGAGAAAATTCAGGAAATGCGTTTTCATCAGCGGAGTTTCACGACCTGTTTTACGTGAAGTGGTGAAAGAGGCGATATTCGCGGTGATATGCAGTAGTCGTGAAATATGTTTTTCATGTCACTAGGGTGGTGAAACTCCATTGTTATTATCGGGGGTATATATATTTTCTATCCTCAGACGGAAACGTGTCGAGGAACTCCAACAAGAGAAGACGAGGGAAGGGGATGAATTCATTTTCTAATATTTTCATCCGTTACTATTGTTGAGTTATGCGAGTGATGTTATGTAGATAATAAAAGCTCCACATATAGGAGAAAAGGAAACAACCTCAGAGGGGTGGTATACAACATCCAAGGAAGACAAATTGAAGGGTGAACCCGAAACCGGACAAGGCAACCAGAAACCCGAGCTGTTATACACATGAAACCTGTTACCAAAGGCAACCAGAAACCCGAACTGCTGAGAGCGAACGACAAACCTCCTTGGATTTTGTCGTTCTTTTTTGTATTTTGTAATTTAACCACCGAAGAGGCATGTGTAATGGACTGAAGTTTACGTTAACTCTCATGAAAACACTTGTCAAGTCAATTCAACACTGAGATAGAAATGTGAAATGCAGTTCGAGAATAGATTTCTCGTATAACTCGGATTGTCCTAGTAAACCGCACTGTGAGCATTCGCTGATAGTATTTAGTATTAAGTCTATTTGCTACTATCTCCGTTGATGTTGTTAATAATGGACTCATCGGCAACTCGATAATAACTTATTATTAAGTTGCCGACTAGTCCATATGGAAAGGCAATTTACGAAATGCCAAGCTGTAGAGCATAGACATCACACTGTGTTCGAATCAATGGTGGTTGTCAATTCACAACCGATTAAAGTCGATTATCATTATTATGCCATTGAAAAAAATTCGCTTCGCTCCGCTCATTGAGTTTGCGTACGAACGTTGCTCGGCCTTCACAAGAAACTGCTTCAAAGCTTTCATCATTTTGGCACTTGTTGCTGAGGTAGAAGTCTACTACTGCGACTTTCCTCTAAACACACCTGCTATGAAAGGCTGCAGCGCTCCGCTGTGCTGATGAATGTAAAAAGCGCACGCCCAAGCGATCGATTTGTGTACAGCTAATTAGGCATTCACACTCGGTGCATCGCAAGCAGGTCTGTTTCGTCGTCAGTATGGGACCTAAGATTCAAAAGTCAAAGGAGGCCAAGGCTAAGGCCGCTATGGCCGGTGGCAAGGGTAAGAAGAAGAAGTGGTCTAAGGGAAAGGTAATACCACATTTCTCTCAAGTCGTGCTGATTGATATGGTATAGGTGCAAGAGAAGCTGAATAACGCTGTCTGCTGGGATAAGGCAACTGTTGCTAAGCTCCAGAAGGAGATCCCCAAGGCCAAGCTGATCACCCCTGCTATCGTTTCTGAGCGTATCAAGGTAGGATTGATAATACCATTGGTGTTGTTGATGATATCCATTTTGCAGGTCAACGGCTCTTTGGCTCGTCAAGCCCTCCGTATGTTGGAGAGTACTGGTCAGATCTCGCGGGTCGGAGTACCTCACTCTCGTGCTCTCATCTACACCAGGAAGATCGTTGCTTAAATCAAGCTTTGATCGATTCGGGTGGTTGAAACGGAACTCTTGCTTGCTTCTGGAGAATCTTCGTAGTGTTGAGTGTTTTATGGTATTGCTTTAATAAGGGGTAGCTTAAATGGTTTAGAATGGGCGGGGGAGCTCCCTTCGATTCGTCCTCTTGAAATGCTCTGTTATTGGCTTGAGTGAGTAACCCGGACGGTTGTGTGATGAACATTACTACCGCTCCCCTTGTGTGCAACGCAAGCTGTTCTCTTGTATGTAACTCTCTTTCCATCTCTCTTTTTTGGCTGGTAAAGTGAACTGATTAGCATATGGAGAGGCCTTGAGGAGAATAACGAGGGCAGTGACTTGGGGTAATCTGACTGAATCGACGATTCTTTATGTACGATATCGTTGATAGAAGTCGCCATCAATGTAGGCTGATAGAGACCTATAAGCGACGCCATGGAAGTGTTGGGGATATGTCAGTTCAAAATTTCCGAGTAACGGTCGTTTGAATGTGGAGG